ATATATATATATATATATATATATATATTTAGTTTAACTGTAATCTATTCAGGCACAAAACAATCCGTGCCATAGAAGTTGCAACCACCGAGTGCCTCAATAACAGTTCTGCCCGGTAACTGTTAATAAAACATTATGTATATCCAATAGATTTTTATGCTAAACCTAAGCCTCACAAAGGTGTTTTGGTGTGGGTGAGGCTTGTGTGAAAAATGTGAGATCTGCCGTGATGGAATATCAGTCATGTGCTTCTTTTGCTCACTTTTGCTGGCACAGTTTGCACAGCGTTTCAGTGGGGTGGAGGCGTGACCATGTCTATCTACTTATTATTGCTTGGAAACAGCAAATGTCGCTTTTTCTCTGATGGTCCGTTCGTCAGCGTCTTATAAGGCCCTCTTTCCGTTTTAGCTCGAGTTGGTGTTTCTTCTCTATCGCCTTCGTTGCTTACACCCAACATTTGATACTTCGTTTGACTGTACAAGCGGCAAGATTAGCGTTCTAAACGTCTTCTTGAGGGCGTGGAATACTCTCTGGAGTACCCGAGGAGCTAAGCGACGAAAGACGCTGTGTCTAGTGTCACGCCGTCAAGCAAGTCAGTGACACATATGGTGCTTTGAGCACTCTTTACCGTGAGCAAATGTTTTTGGAAACTTCCGTGGTCGATCGGGGTTTTTGTCAGAAAGTAGTCGACCGTGCCGTGGTTATGGTTAAACTCTTTGATCAACCCAGACTATAAGCGACGGATCCCGTCTTTCGGGAAGTCCTCTGGTAGGTTATTCGAATCTTGCTGCCATTCTTCCATAATTTGTTGTTTTATTTTTGTATTTTCTAGTGCTCGGTTGTTTTTCAATTTGTTTTTGTTTAAATGAGTTCTCGCCGGATATTGGCTTCATTAATTGCGGCATCTGTTTCGGACATTTTATTAACCTTTAGCTACTTCTACTTCTATAGAATATAATTGTTGAGTTTACAAAAATGCTGCCTTTTCCATATACCATATATATGCATGGCTACTTGGGCCGCATAAAAGGCCCTTTATCTTGTATTTTTAATCCCGATGCGAGCGTCCGCTCGAAGGATTTTGAAGCCAGTATTTTGTGCCAGAATACGTTTGTATTAACAAAACATTCTACAGTAGAGAATAATAGACGTTGAATCCGTCGATAGAAAGATCTGTGTTTCCGCTGTTAAAGCTCTCGGATCGGCATTGACATTCATGCTGGCACGACCGCGTCTCGCCAGAGTGGAAGGACAAATATAATGCAGGTCGGCCAATACTGTCATCTATATACCACGCCTCGCGCGCCGTTTGCGTATTTTCGTACAACGGAGATTTAGCCAGCCTCAAGGTTGTGCAACTTCTATGACTGATACTACACGTCTCGACTGAGCACCACCGATCTGGTACTGATGGGTAATTATTATTCAGCTGAGTACGCCCATAGCAGCCATTGCTACAACTCCAACTGTTATGGATCACAGCATCTGATCCGTTGAGCGTTTTGCTTCGGATCATCTATGGCAACTGTAGCAGAAATGCCAGCCAAAAGTAGAGCTTTGTCATTGCGAAACACAGACTGACTGCGATAATTATTTTATTATTATCAGCGACTATTTATTTCAGTCAAGAAGAGATTTCTAGCGGGAAATATAGACGCGCGTTTCATTTGTTGATATGTGGAGCGAGTGAAGCAAATAAGGTTGTGATAAGGTTGGATGAACTCACATCATTCAAGTAGAAATTTTCACGGTAGTTGCGATGTGTCTTCAGTTTATGAGCGAAAGCTGATGCGTTGCTCCCTGGGCGTACATAGGCCGTCTTATTAAATGAATGTTTTCATAGGAAAAGAATTTTTTAACCCTAATGTTTATTGTAGCCTACGCACATATGATTCATAGTAGGCAGGAGCGATTTTTATCCCAATAGAAATTTCGAGGCTAAATAAACGTTTTAGTTATTTAGACATAATTGAATGGGGATCTAGCCTTCCCATCTTGATTGGACGTCGTGTTAATCGGCTTAGATGATTCATTCTGTTCTTATGTATTTTTCATCTAGTAAAATCTAGTACAAACATTACTTGTTATTGATACTCTTACTGTATGACGAGAGCGACCGCCGCTCCTTACCGTTGCCTTTTTCTGTTATTATTCTTTTGAAAGGGCTAACCTTGCTCTAGCTCAAAACACCAGTCATGATTGGATCGCTACTAAAGTCAAATTACAAAAACAACTATCAGTCGATCGCAGGGAAAGCACTGCGGCGTTTCATCTCTTCCGAAGTTTCGCGCGATTAATGTTTGCTTTCGTTAGCAGTCGGGGGAAACCAAACCAGTGTCGCTCTCCCTTGACATGAGGATATAATTTTCGGCAGAACGTATTATTAATCAATACTAAATATCCATAAAAGTCTTAAAAACTGAGATTTCCAGAAAGGGATCAAAATGTGACCCACTGCCCCTAAGATTCATAATACAACCGTGTTACGTGCATACTATGCGAAGCAAACTTCATAAAATTCGTTCGGGAGCACTTTTGAACTTCACCTATAAACAGCACACTGCGACCAGACCTCCTAATAACGTGAGGACCCCGAGTGATCCTTGTCTGATTTGTCTGAGTGGTTTCCGCCGCCGTCTTCGAGTTCTGTTCTTTGCCTTGGATAAACGAACTTATCCGTGCTAAGTGCAGGTTGTTACAGAGAGTACGTATACCAGCAACTGTAGTGTTTAATGAAATCTTCGTACAAATTCTAATGAACTGAAACTTTCGAAGAAGGACATTTGAAGGTGGCATATCCGTGAAGTAACGGTCCCTCGCATATGCTTTGATTGACGAAGATGTATCGTTCACAATCCAGTGATCTCTTACGTGTTATTCTTTAGGAGATTGCCACGGGGGCACTTCTTATTATGTATGCATATTTTTATAATATGCACTTACGCATATTCTGTTTAAGTAGCTCATTTGCGTCGAGAAAAGGAAAAGCAACGTGAACAGCTGTTCACAAAATTGAATTACTTGCTAAAAATAACATTTTGCGCGAATTTTAACAAATGAAGAAGCGATAAACCGATATACTTGTTCTCCTTGACACGCTCATAGTACTAGCTTATCGATACGAAAAATCTCTTTTTATTGGAACATCGCCGAATGTATGATCGTGTAATGTTTTAAATATCGAGGACTTACAGTAGTGCATTAGCACATGTATAGCGTATAACGGCACTCTACTGTTTATCTAGTGCTAAAATACTCTAATAGAGAGTGTATTTTTTTTATCTATTTATCAGCTGGTTGATCTTCATGTGTACGTTATTCCTGAGGAAGATTGGATCAGCCATAGAAAACTGGCCACCAATGCAGCGGTTGTCAGCGACGCGGTATCGGCGGGTTTTATCAGGTTCGTACTATAACAGCAATTCCTCTCGTACTTTAAAGGATGCACAATCACTAAAAAAACGAGACAAATGGTTCTAAAAATAAAAAAATCATTATTTCACGGGTCATGCTAGGAAGCTCCTATTAATCACTGCACTCGGATCAACACCGGCAATACACCTCTGATCACACTTGGCTTTTCTCGAATAAATAATTCTAACAGTAATCGTGCCCATGTATGAAATGGTCGTTTGACTGAAGCCTTCGGCAATGTAAATTCGGGTAACGTCAATTGCACTAGACGAGCTACTTAGTAAGTCTTTTGCCTTTTATTAGTATATTATGTTGAGCTGACCTTGAAGATGAAAAAAAGTCTAATTTAGAAAAGCTCAATAGACTCCTAGTACATTTTTCGAAATTCAAGTCTGGTGTTACCGTTAAACATTATTTCAGACAAGCGGATTCTGTAACAAGATTTTTATTGACATGAATGCTTTATGTAAGTTCATTTTTAAGCGTTAAATATGTTAGAGCGACTAAGTTTCCTATTTACTGGGGTTCAATTCCCAAGTACTCCTTAAAGTCTATCATTATCTTGTCAGCTTATTTTAGCATGTTTACAAATATTTATAGTAAGCCTAGAAGCTATTTAGGTGAACTGTAGAAAACTTTATTTCATTGCGCTTCACAACATTTGCTTCTAAAGAGCGTCATTTTCTTAAAATGATTTTTTGTTAATACTTGTTTGTGTATCGACTCGCTGGGAACGAGACTCGACGTTAAGCTATTAATCATTATGTTGGTAGTCTCGTATAAACCTGATACACATATTTAGCATACATATATGCATATACTCAATAACTATTTATTCTAGACTTATATAATCTATGATCCCGGAACGATTTGGCTATTTAGATGCTTATCGTTGACAATCCATTATTGCAGAGTCTTACCGGCCATGCGGTTGGACGAGGTGCGCGAGGAGATCCACGACCAACTGGGACTTGACAATGTACCTATCACGTTTATCTTCCTCAGAAGCGTTGGTCGAAACTTTACCCAGGTAGTTCGCTTCATTCTCCTATCCTTCACTTTTCCACCTATCGTATTTGAAGTATTCGAGGCAACCGTGCACTAACTAATACGTTTTCTCTGCTTTTCCATCTAGTGTTGTTTAACTGCATAAAATAACAGTACGATTATGGTGCGTCGTTATAAATGGCCTTTTGTCTTGACACATTGGTGAAATTTGTTTTCGCAGCGCTACGCTGAATATGCACACAGCGAGAGCAGTGGGGCAGTTTGGTTCGCCCAGAACGCTACGACCATTTTTCCGGACGTCATTGCCAAAAGCGCCACTCTGATGTATTTAAGAATCCTTACATTATCAGGTCGAACAGTGTTTATTGATAGCTATCTTTTAACGGATATTTTTCATTTAATCGAACTGAATTATTTTAAAGCCAAACAATTTCTTCGCAGAGTATTGATACTGACAATACGCTAAAGCTAAAAAATCCTTAAAACTACGTTTTCCCCATTCGGGTGATTGGGTGGCTGAGTCTGTAACTCAAGAAAAATCCGAGTTTCATTTTCCTAAGCTTCATTAAGTAATACGTATGACAGAAGAAAAGCTGATGTACTGAGTGTGTTTCTAGATAAAGACAAGAGTCTATTAAGATCGGGTATACAACAACTGCGGTAAAATTGATCTATTCTATGCTGAATAGTAAAGAAGTTATCTTTGATATGTGTCGTTAATACTTGTTCTCTTCTATTTCTTACATCTAAATCTGTATTGCCGTATTTTTTGTGAAAATATTGTCGTTATTATGATCTTGTTGCCTGATAAATTGGAACCATTTATCTTGGGTTGCGCATCACATCGTTTCGTGGCAAGTAGCCTAAACCTGCAATAGCCACCAGAGGGCTCTCACGAACCGCCATTGGGATTAGAAAATAAACTAGACGAGGTTTATTTTAAAATATAGGTAGTATGTAATATGTAAATAGTAATTAACATCGACAAGTTTATTTCTGACGTGTTAGTTGCAGCTAGGGATGTACGTAAGTGTCCCCACGCCATATCTGTGACAACCTGTTTCGTTCCAAAGTGACTCAATAATCTAATTCCTATTCATCCGGTATCTGTGGGCTAACAAGAACTAAATGTTGCTGCTTTTTGTAACACAAATTTTAACTTGATTCTCTTTATGCTTTGGCTTATGAAATGGCATTATCGCTGAAATTTTTTGTTAAGGGGGCAGCTTAGCGGACATTACCGTTGGTAGCAAGCCAGAATAGCTATACAGAAATCTACCTCAAACTCATTGGATATAATTAATATTCATTTTAATAGCACAACTGTAATTAAACTTCCGCAGGCTTTATGTAAAGTAACTTGACCTGAGATATTTATGCCGTACGAGAAATCCTTTTGATGGAAAAATTGAGCCTCTACCTGTGTATATATATCCAACTGATGACTCCCATCTATCGCCATGAAGGTTCCGCTTATTTTACGGCTTTTTTGGTACTGTTTACACATTCCCTTTTTCTCCGTATTAACAGATTGTAATCAGAATAAACACCGGACTGAAATTGATATAATAATTTAGACTTCTCTTCTTGACAAAACTTCAAATAATTTCAAGGCTATTTTTTGGTTATACAACAGCGATACCTGTTGACCTTCTTCCTATTTTATGCATATATATATATATATATATTGCTAAAAGCGGTTGAAACAATGCTCCATCTAGAGCGAGTGCACACGATGCCGCTCGCGGGAGCGTGAGGGATTGACGGCGCTGAACTCAGTCCTTCAGTCTCTATCAGTCCGTGACGGATGCTGCTAGGGCAATATCTAGATATGCATAGATAGTGCGTTGGCCGACGTGTTTACGTGCTAAACATGGGGATATGTAATCGACTAGCTTCGATACACCTCATTTCGTGTTAACAAAGAGCTAGCTATCTCAAGTAATTTCTAGCAAGCTGATTTAAGTACCGGAAGTAAAACACGAAAGACATTTTTAGATGTACGTAGAATTTCTCCAGGCGTCGGTGAACCTGCAACCTTATGACGTGGTTCAGTTTACGGTCCTGCTGAGGTTATTTGTGTACTTAGATTCTCTTGACGTATTCGATCGAACTGTTAGGTTATAAAGCTATGCAAGGCTTTCATTCAGTCGGGCGGATAACCTGATTTGCAGCCGAACCGTATGCGACTGTATCAGTGTCACCTGCTTCAGTGATAAGTGGAATTAATTTTAATAGCAAATTTCTATTTATATTTACTATTCAAGAGGTAACTTTAACAGTTAATCCAATTGCATGTTAGGCACTGATCAAGCGTCTGATAATCAGGTGATGCTTACTATGTAAAAGTCGTCGGAATACAGAGCATGTCATTATGTACAGTAACTGTTACGGTGCTAGGCAAAGTATCACGGTCAAAACTTGGGTTTCGTAGAAATTAAGCATCCTCGTTTTCAAGATACTGTTTTATTGCTATGATAAGCTGCTCTGGTCTCGGGGTTCAAATGACGTTAGAAATATTTTATTGAGTGACGAATATTGCCGACTGAGTAATGAATATGACCGCTAACCAGATGGGTGAAGGGTAACGAAACTAGGTTAGCGAATACACAAGGAACATCGAAAAGCCCCTAGATAAGCTATTCCACATGATGTTTGCAGTTAGTGCATCATTGTGCTTGTTTCGGATGTGCCGTAATTAACTTTTTTCGTCTTTGGCAAAATGATTGGCAGAATATGTGGTATCCTCATTAAGGCCAGCCTGTTCAGGCCACCAGACGTCGATGCCAAATATTCCAATCTTGCCGCCCTTCTTCTCTAACTCTGATCCTTGCTTGATAACAGTGTATATGCTTTCTTACACACAACGTCAAAGGGTAATGCCTCTGTTGAAATCTACAGATTTTTAGCATTTTTTTTATACAGTACAGATTTTAATGAGTCTGAAATATATTCTTAGTACTTTTCGGAGTACGGACGAATGTGTAGGTAAGTGTACGCATCTTACGGTTTTCATAGTACCGTCCAACGAGACTGGAGAGACGGAGAGCTGTAAAGTACTCAAAGTACAGCCAAGGATCGACTATGCAAAAAGATTATTATTATCAACATTATGCAAGGAAACATTGTTACTTAACGTTCTCTTTTCAAAGAGGCATGTTCTGTAATATATATCGAAAGTGATTAAGCATAGGAAAGTCGCTTGGCAGTTTAGAAGAAATTGTTTGACACACGACCTCAAAAACCAAGTGAGGCCTTTATGTCTCCAACTGGCCATCAGGGTCACTGAGACGTTAACAAAACGCCGACTGATGGCGAGTTATATTTCGCACCGGGAGCTACGGTATGGAGCACGTGAGCGCCTGTGATCTATGCTGGCAAGGAAGTCGAAAAACTATATTTTTTCCTACTCCTATAACCAGAAATTTAAAAATCTGCTGCTGGATAGAAATTGGAATCGATCCTATTGGGCAAAGCGCTCAGCTGTGGCCGTAATTTTAGCGCGTACTGTTATAATAGCAGTACGAGTCTCGAAGTGACAAGGATGTGCGTGCGGATCACCGTTGGCCCTTACAAGACCTTATGCAATTCATTTGTTGGCTTTAGAAAAAGCGAGATTCCCGCTGACACGTGCAACGACTGGAGCTGGACTCATTGAGCACTCCAGAATGCCGGCCGTCGCATGGAGGCATCCACCCTGATAAGCGTGGCTAATCGTAACGAGGAATGTATGAATAAATTTTGCCTGAGCAACCGTATGACGTCAAGTTGAGTGGCTGTGGAAGACCAAGCTTTTATGTATAGGTTAGGTTGGCACATACGTAACGGCCATTTCTTTCCCTTTCATCTCCGTTTGACCCTACTTCAGTTTCTCACGCGAGATCGATGACAATCCCCGACGACTTTTTTGCACGCGCCATATCCTTTTCGTGCCTTGCACGTACAAGACCTCAGAATAATAAGAGTTTATAATAAGTTAAGTTATTGTTGATTCGTTCTTGTTCTATGAAAAGTCTTAATCAGGTCTTCTTGGGCCCTCAATCACATAAGGCCAGCTTAAATGCCTTCAGGCAGTCAAAACTAAATTACAATGGCTCTGTAGTTTCGAATCGGCCACATATATATATATATATATATATATATATATATATATGGAAAACTAGTTAGTATTTGAGCAACATAAGACAGACACAAAAATACGCTACCTTTCGGAGAAAAATATCAAATATGATTTTGTGTAACAGTTTGCCTGAAACGACATGACGACTACATCTGTACCATAGAGACTTTTCCAATTCCTTTTTGAACCTTAGTTGACCTGCAGGAGTTATTTTCGATGGATAATAGGAAAGAGCTACATCATGGAACGAGCAGGAAAGCTGGTACAACGGTAATTTAAAGGGTAAATTTTTTCCATGCGAGTGCGAAGCGGGCAGGTAGTGAAACAGTCTCATTAAAACTAATAAGAGGTAGACGGGAGAATTGACAATGTTCCACCTGAAATAACGTACGATTCTCTCACGAAAATACTAACCTTGCTTATATGTTTTTCAGGTCAAGCCACATCAGGAGGGGGAGCTAAAAGTCAAATATTTTTGTCCGCCATTCGTAAGTACTTTCGTTGTGTAATAATGAATATAATTTGGAAAAATGTTTTATGATGGTAGCTAAATAAGTGTTGAGCATAAAACATTTGAGATATACTGTGCATCCGTACACAAACTACGACGCACCGCCGGTCTGGCAAATCCGCGTTTTTAAAAAATCGAGGCGAACAAGATATACGCCTATACACAAGCTAAGCGTATTTGTTGCCACTACACCATGTCAGAATCTTTGTGAAGGCCAGTTAATAATTAAATATTTCGAAGTTTACATCTGATACTGACAGCCGCTAAGCATTGCCTCGCGTGAATGGCCTAGTGTCATGTAGGAATGCAAGCGTAGGATCATGACAGGCTCAATAAGTTGGTGAATCTATCTTTTTTTTTTTTTTTTTTTTTACTAAAACAGATAGTGAAACAGTCTCGTTAAAACTAAAAGAGATTTGTATGCCTCCACAAATTCACACTTGTATTTATATTATGAGACCGTTATTTAAAATTTTCGAAAGCTATGTATGGAAAATAGGTCATTACGTGGGTCTCCTTTTTTACGTTACTCTTGATTCAGTATCGTATAACTATCGTCAATCTAAAAAGTTCGTATTTCAGCTATCCCTGCCGGACAGTTTTATACAATGTTTGCCCACTATATACGTCACTTATAAGTGTAAAATTTTCATTTTCCACATTTGGCTTTTAAGCTCACTATTGTGACCCCACTGCACATCTGTTTTTCCTTACGTACGATAACCTTATACTTAGTGTACATTTAATAAAGCTATACATATAGAATAATTATCCATACGGCTTCTCGATTTGTTTCTGACGCGAGGTTTTTACAAGAATAGTGTGAAAACATAATTTGAGTCCAAGGTTACGGAACAACGGCATAGCCACAGGTGACGCCTGATTTGTCCTAAATATAGATGTCCTTCCATTTAACCTACAGAAGGCAGAATGCAAACTTCGTCCATTCGTTGAACTCGTTCACTTTCATACGTGTACAGCGAAGTTGTGACATCTTCTCCTGACGTAAATAGGTTTAACGTTGTTTGCGATTTACCATCAATACCTTTAAACATATCCTCTCTAAAGGAATGTAGACTAATAGTTGAAGCTCGAGCGGTTGACAATGATTCATATGGTAGAAAATTGACGTACAAAACAATTCAATATATGTCCCAGATCATTAGATATTAAACACAGATTATCCTTTTGTTTATAACAGCGCCACAACATCGATTGATCCCAGCTGCAAAAGTGTCCATAAATATATTGACATTTACATATATTTTTATAACACCGATTTCTTAGCATACCAAAGCGGAACTTAGTATTTTTCAGTACGTAAATACGTGAAAAATTTTTCTTAAAGGGTCGCGACATCTCTATTAGATTGGGCCGGCTTGTGCTCAAAACAATATAATTAAATATATATAACTACTAAAGGATTCTTTAAAGTTCATTTGTCCCCAATAGAAGCCAGTTAACCACTGGTTTCTAGTGAACAAACATGACATTTTGTCCTTTAGCGCGATACACGTGCCTGACACGCGTAGGACAACAGTCGTTCTGAATCAAAGACTCAAATCGCTCTGTGTGTATTGTGACGCTATAGTAAACTAAAAATACTCATGCGATCGACGGATGGACGTATACATCGATGATCCACGCAACAGATAAATGCTAACAAAAAACATATAGATTATTATCTATGGACATTTAGGCGACTGTCAGTAGTATGCCATCAACGTATCCCTTAAAGAATATGTGAGCGTAAAAACTCTTCACCCTTGCTTTAGCTGCTAACCTATTTGTGCCAACACCGTGGCTTTAAGTCCTCCCTTTTCATATAGAAGCCATCGAAAAGTCATAAAATGCCTTCGACCTTACCGAAAATTTGAAAAAAAAAACGAGAATACTTTGGAGCAGTAATGGTTGACCAAAGACCAAAAAAATCTAAACCTTTATGTTCTTGTGATAGATTGAAACAACAGAATTAGAAGCCATCTTGAATTTAAATTATTGGCCTACCAAACTCATACAGGGTAAATTTGCGCACAACTGCTCAACATTCAAAGATAAATCTAAATGCAAGCTGTCAGCTTTTTGACCAATGTTCAGTCATCTTGGACATTGGTCAAAAGCAGTAATATATATTATTGCTATTTTGCTACGCTCCTCTTCGATTTAACAACTAGCCTGCGGATTTCTATGACGGGCAATTTTCGGCTATTCGAGTGTCCATAGTCAGATACCCATCTTCTGACTTGCTCAAAATTAAAAAAGACATTTTCGGCGGGCAGATGTTACATCGATCTAATTCAATGCTAGCCTGAATAAGGCACGCTGGCTACATAAGAAGTATAAAATTGTAATTTCAGCCTACTTAACAATGGCTTCTCGCGCGCTTCGGGGCCTGTGTGGGACAAGCGTTATTATGCGGTAAAAATTTTTATTGGTAAACGGCCATTTTCACCTAGGATATTGCCTAATATATTGACAGCGTTATGCAACACACCTTCAACAAGAGTTAATAACTCCTAGGAAAGAGCTTTTTCCATGTTTAGCCAAGCCCACAGAAAAATCTGCTTTCCGTAAACATCACGTAATCCGAGATAGACCCAGGATAATTTGGGCTTCGAACTGTAGAAGAAGATTCCCACTTTGTGGCCAGTAACAATATGATGCTGAACAAGATTTTTACAGACAACTGAATGAGTTAGCGCAGTACCGTGCCTGTTGATTCAGTTAATGGTAAACATATTTGTCTGCTTTCAATGTCTTTTTCATAGCGCGCAGGCCATTCGAAACTGTTTGTTAAATCATTCTCTATTAACTAAGTTCCTGTTGAACTTAAGTAAAATTTTCGTCCAGCAATACTTGTTCTAAGTTTTTCATTCTAAAAAATTTCGGGAGGTCTAGGCCGTTGGCTGTTGGTCATAAATCATCGTTTGGATTTTAAAAGTGAATAGTATACAGTGATCCAAGTGAGCCTTTTGGAACTCTATTTGTATGTCTATTCTGTTACTGTTAGATCTGAACAATAAATAGCTTACATATGCCGGAGTACGAAGCAGCCTTAGTTTCAGGGCAACTTCCCAAGGCGTAAAAAAGGATCAAGTTAAGCGTTTCGAGGTTAGCCATTTTCGCATTTGGCCAATCGTCATCCTTGGATCGGCTTCGCTACGCATAACAAGCGACAACTTTTCCTTTATCAGGCCTCCTTAGAAACGTGGAACACGAGGTTTGAAAACAGGCACGCCAGTATTTCGCTTTTTTTTTTTCATTTCCATCAATCGTAGCGATAGATCAGAGTGAGCACGCACGATAATCGCTTCGAGAGGTCGATTTCAGACGAACTTCCGAACTTATTTTGGACCGCTGTAGATTTTTGGGTTAACTTCGCATATATGCTATAAAAATTGCAGTAAAGTCCTATCGAATCCTAAAAGAAGCATAACAGAATACCTTTTTGTGATAGCTATATAGTGTGTGCAGTTTGACAATATTTACAAAATTAAAGACCCCTTACGAGCTTAAAATAACAAGGCAGACATATTATAACAAATGGCTTAAAAAAATCATAGTAATAAAACTAACGTGTAAATTAAAGTGTTTTAGAAGTGACAATTAATCCAGGCATAGTTTTTATTTCTAAATTTAAACGGGCATTGTTCTTGAAGCCCTTCCTTGAACAAATTTTTTTTTTTTTTTTTTGTTTTTGGCTGTTGTCACATGTGCACAATATTGTAAATGACTTTATTTACCAATCAGATCAAAATCTAAGAGTTAAAGATTATCATCCGTACGATACAAGCTGTGTGATACTAAGGTACGATAGAGGGGAATCTTTGTTGCCAGAGATATTATAATGTATCCAAAATCCATACGCTAGAAATGTTTAGTTATCTGTTGTAAAGAAAATGTATTTATAAGGTTACATATTATATATGCACCTAAACAGGACAACCTTTATATGCAAGGGTAGCTATTTTTATTAGGTCGTCTGGAGTGAACCGAAAATCTTGAACAACCTCTAAACTGTATAATGTAGAATAGCAGTATTTAGGTACAGTGTAGCACATCGAAACCCAAACCTTTTCTTATGAGCGTTTCTAAAATTTTCTCTAAACAAAGACGCTTATTATAATATTTTTTTTTTTTGCGCGAAGTATTTCTGATGATCGCATTTATTTACGGTACCAGTCATTCGAATTCCAACTCCACTTTAGGACCTAAATCACTAGCCAGTCATTTTCAAAATATTGATTCCTTAATCCGTAAATAACTTTTGATTAGACTATTAAAGATGTCGCCTAAAAATATCCAATACAAACATTTGCTGTGGAATCAAATTTTTGAAACAGAGCAGATTTAAGATTGCAAAAATGCGTCCCTCTTTAAGTTTAAGCTGATAATCTTCCGGTTTGTTTCATGAAAATCCTCTTTGAGTTTCTAGGAACTATAGAAAAACTAGATAATAACATGGACCGGCGAATTTGGAAAAAAGGGAGGTTTTTAATTTTAGTGGGGTTCTTTTAGTGCTGAAAGATTGAATTGTAAGTGGTCTTCAGCCAAATTTAAAAAATTGCACATGTTTTTTGCCATGATTAGTGGCATTGTGTTGTTTTCGGAGGAATTGATTTTCTTTTGTATTGGTAATAGCGAATGCACACATGCCTACCACGGCAAAGAATCTGGCAAAGTTTGCCCGAACCTAAATATTTTTACCTTGTGTGTTAAATGCACCCCTCAATATTAATTAAAAATTGAAGTTAGCGCTCTGCAAGCTTCTCTACAGCTGTGCTCTCTGGTTTACGATATAAAGTTTCGTTATCGATAACTTATTTGAGAGAATCGATTCTTGTTAAGGGAATTAATCGGAATCATAGAGACTTTACTCAGTGTACTTCGATTGCTCGGTTCTAGCCGTTGATTCTCTAGGGTATATCGATAGGCTTTGTTTAATTCTGCTCCCTTCGATCCACGCCATAGCGGCGA